TATATATATATATATATATATATATATATATATATATATATATATATATATATACACACACACACACAACACACACACACACACACACACAGTAGTCCCTCGCTACTTCGCAGTTCATCTATCGTGGACTCGCTCTATCGCAGTTTTTCAAAATAAGATTGGACATGACACACAATTAGCTGATTGATGGATGAGCTGCACGATCGGCATGGAACTTTTATTCAAAATAAAATATTTGAAATTATTTAGCACCTACTGCACCTTTGTGCAGCCCACACTGCAGGATAAGCTTCCTGCGGCAGCTAATCAGCTGTTCTCTGTGCAGAGCAGAGAAATGGGCGTGGCCAAGAACGCTTACAGGTGGAAGAGAGAAGACGAGGCAGGGAGCTGAAATCATGAAATTCTGTGCTCTTTTAGAGAATTTAGAGTTTATAAACATTGTTTAGAATATTGCAAGAGTGTGGGAAGGGTTTATATGATAAATAACTACTAAAATAAACTACTACTTACTACTTGTACTATTATTCCTACTTTGTGGTTTTTCACTTATGGCAGGACGTCAAGGTACAGCAGATCCCCGCGATAAATGACGGCCCATTGCTTATTTTTGACCCAATCATTTGAAAAAGCTAAAAAGTAATTGGATGTTGGATCTTAGATTATAAATAGTATCAAGAACTTGGATTTTGATTTGGCAACCAATTTTTGATAGTGACCCATTTTTACACCCAGATGCAGCCACACACCAAAATAGAAGTCAATACCTCAATTATTTTTCAAGTTATGCCTGCAATATGCACGGGTGAAAAAATGGATGGAGGGTTTTTCTAATGTTCCCCCTTTGCTTCATGACGAGGGACAAAAATAGCAAGCTTATAAAAGCCCACCTAAAAGTCAACTAGCAACTTGAGCTTCCCAATAATTTTCACAAGAATGTTTTTCTTCACTCCCCCCACCCCCTTTATTTTATCGATTTCTACCACTTGATATCAGGTATAGCTTAAATCACATATGAATATATGAATGAATTGGGCTGCTGTTGTTATATCATATTGTTTTACATTAGTGTTTAGCATATTTAGATCTTTTATCGTTTCGTTTGGCAGATAACTTAGTGTATATCTTAGATCCTTATATACGGTTTCATTTTACACTTTATATTTTTGCTGTTTTGGGTGTATCTGGGACCTTGTGTACGTAATTTCGTTCCACCTCATGTACCACATGTGATGCAAATGACAATAAATATTACTTGAACTCGAATGGCATATTGAGCTATGAACTGATTGATTGATATTGATTATACAGTGGGGAGAACAAGTATTTGATACACTGTTGATTTTTCAGGTTTTCCCACTTGCAAAGCTTGTAGATGACTGTAATTTTTATCATAGGTACTCTTCAACTGTGAGTGATGGAATCTAAAACAAAAATCCAGAAAAATACAATGTATGATTTTTAAATAATTAATTCCCATTTTATTGTGTGAAATAAGTATTTGATACACCAGAAAAATGAAACTTAATATTTGGTACAGAAACCTTTGTTTGCATTACAGAGATCAGACGTTTCCTGTAGTTCTTGACCAGGTTTGCACACACTGCAGCAGGGATTTTGGCCCACTCCTCCATACAGATCTCCTCCAGAGCCTTCAGGTTTCGGGGCTGTCGCTGGGCCACACGGACTTTAAGCTCCCTCCAAAGATTTTCTATGGGATTCAGGTCTGGAGACTGGCTAGGCCACTCCAGGACCTTAAGATGTTTCCTACGGAGCCACTCTTTAGTTGCCCTGGCTGTGTGTTTTGGGTCGTTATCATGCTGGAAGACCCAGCCACGGCCCATCTTCAGTGCTCTTACTGAGGAAAGGAGGTTGTTGGCCAAAATCTCACGATACATGGCCCCATCCATCCTTTCCACAATATGGTGCCGTCGTCCTGTCCCCTTTGCAGAAAAGCATCCCCAAAGAATGATGTTTCCACCGCCATGCTTCACGGTTGGGATGGTGTTCTTGGGGTTGTACTCATCATTCTTCTTCCTCCAAACATGACGAGTGGAGTTTAAACCAAAAAGTTCTATTTTTGTCTCATCAGACCACATGACCTTCTCCCATTCCTCCTCTGGATCATTCAGATGGTCATTTGCAAACTTCAGACGGGCTTTGACATGCGTTGGCTTGAGGAAGGGCACCTTGCGTGCACTGCAGGATTTTAATCCTTGACGGCGTAGAGTGTTACTGATTGTTTTCTTTGAGACTGTGGTCCCAGCTCTATTCAGGTCATTGACCAGGTCCTGCCGTGTAGTTCTGGGCTCATTCCTCACCTTCCTCAAGATCAATGATGCTCCACGAGGTGAGATCTTGCATGGCGCCCCAGACAGAGGGAGATTTTCCGTTATTTTGTATTTCTTCCATTTTCTAATAATTGCACCAACTGTTGTTGCCTTCTCACCAAGCTGCTTGCCTATTGTCCTGTAGCCCATCCCAGCCTTGTGCAGGTCTACAATTTTATCCCTGATGTCCTTACACAGCTCTCTGGTCTTGGGCATTGTGGAGATGGAGTCTGATTGATTGAGTGTGTGGACAGGTGTCTTTTATACAGGTCACGAGTCCAAACAGGTGCAGTTAATACAGGTAATGAGTGGAGAACAGGAGGGCTTCTTAAAGAAGAACTAACATGTCTGTGAGAGCCAAAATTCTTACTGGTTGATAGATGATCAAATACTTATTTCACACAATAAAATGGAAATTAATTATTTAAAAATCATACATTGTATTTTTGTTTTAGATTCCATCACTCACAGTTGAAGAGTACCTATGATAAAAATTACAGTCATCTACAAGCTTTGCAAGTTGGAAAACCTGAAAAATCAACAGTGTATCAAATACTTGTTCTCCCCACTGTATGAATACAGATTATAGGAGGATAAATTTAAATAATTACTACTTATGCTATTTGACTGATGCATAATTTTTCATCAGTTCTATTTCAATTTTCCTCTTTCCTGGTACATCTTTTACTTCAGTATTTAATGCCTGCCTTGATCCATTTTCTGAACTGAACACAACACCATACTTTTATGTATGCTGGGTGGAAACACTAAGAAAGTGGTTGTATGTGAGCACAAACTGAAAATTTTGCCAATAGACAATCACCTTTGCGAGACTGGTTTTCCAGAATCGCTATGATTTGTTTAATGAACCTAGATAAGTCTTTCTGAGATGAACTATAGACAAAATGAGATCCAAAACTAATACTTCCATTAATAATATTTTTAATAAACAGTGCCAAAAATAAACAAATATTGGTCAAAAGTGCCATTTATGATCTTTTCATAATTTCACACAGAAAACATGAGACTAAACACCTTAAGCTGTAACACTGAAACCTGTCCCTGCAGGATTATGAGACTGGGCAACAAAAGCTGTAATAAACAATAACCAGCCAATAGTTTAAATAAATGAAAGCACCCGTCAACAAGCATGCAGCAAATCTGTTGAGAAGTCTTATAGTGAACTCTGTCAGTGCATGATTGTTAGATGGATAAAAAGCTGGTCGCACGTGCTGTAACCAAGAGAGGAAGTCCTAAATAACGCCCATTCAGTCTGAATTGGGCAACAACATAGCAACAAACATTATTTAAACAAATATATTAATTTACTCAAACGTATTGGCAATTATTAAAAAATAATAAAACGTAAGTGTCTGGTAGTCACCTAATTGCAGAAATTGTGAAAAAAAAAAAGAAGGAATAATTTCAACAGAGCCACAACAGCTGCCTGGTGATGCAGGGAATCAAACGGGTAAATCGGTTTTGTTTAAGGTCAGACTGTTTTACTTACCTGGTGAAGCTGTTGGAGTAGGTGGGAGAGCTTGAGAAAAGCTCGCCGACCCTGTGGATCGGCGAGTTGTCACCAACGCTCGGGCTCCTGTAAAAGGCTCCACCGATGGTTGTGACTGGGAGGTACAAGCCGGACACTGGCTTCTGATCCTTCTGCTGTTCAGCTTCGTTGTTTCTGGAGTTGATTCCAAAATGGAAGCTTTGTCCTCCTGAGGTGCTCACCCCACAGATGGAGATCGGGCTTGTGGCACCCATTTGACAATACCCCCCGGAGGTCTTCTCCTGCTTTATCACACCCGGGGTGCAGAGTTGAATGAAGCCTGTATCTTTTTCTTTCTTCACCACAGCAGGAAAAGTGGTTGGAGGGGTTGAAGAAGAGGTGGTGGACAAGCCTGAGTTAGATTTGTGTGGACTTGTCGCACTGCTGCCATCAGGGGTGGCAGTGAGCACACCAGTGGTGTTAATGCTCTCTACCAAAGCAGATTTTAAGTCCCTCTCTAATGTCACTCTGATGTCCCCGTCAGCAAGCAAAGAATCATCAGCCAGAGTGGTCAGAAAGGCATCATCCCCTACATAAAAATCTGAGGGGGATCCAGTGAGGTCAAACTCCTGAAGAAGGTCTAGAGACGTGTCATTGAACAGTTTCTGGTTCATGTCCACATCTTTACTAATAGAATCAAAGGCTTGATCAAAATCAATGGGGTCCTGCTCTCCCTTGTCCAGGGAGAAATCCTCTGTTTTCATGGCGAATAAGTTGGGGTCTGATCCCCCGATAAGTGAATCCATGGAGGACTGGGTAATATCTACTATACTGGCCTCTAGCTGGGGCAAGCTTTGATGCCCAAAAGCACTGGAAGTTTGTGTCTGAAACTGCTGCGGTTGCTGATGCCTCTGATCTTTGGTCAGGCCCCTGAGTTCTGGGCTCTCTACCAAGGAACCTATGGTGGCAGGGGCAGAGGCTGAGGTAAGCTCATCTGGAAGGGGGCTGTTGCTTAGACCGTTGATCACCTGTCCTGGTTGCATTAGAGGGCTGGTTGGAAGAACAACAGACGTGGCAGAGGTGAGGGACACGGCGCTGTGAGGGGCCACTTTTAAAAGGCCTCCCTCCTCAGGACTTTCGGTGTAGACCAGTTTGCTCAGATGGTCATTTCCTCTATACGTAATCTTCTTCACTCCACCTTGATCCATCTTTAAAGTTAAAGAGAAAATAAATTGTTTAAAAGTGCAAAGAAAATAATTGTACACATATTGAAAGGTTTATAACTGGATTTCTGGAAAAGCTTATGTCACTGCTATATGATCCAGGTTACAATGATTTGTGGTTTGCAGATGTCAGGCAACTGCACTACTGGGGACGACAATAGAATGAGCCCCTGAGCATCGACTGGTAAAAAAAAGACCACCCACTTTTCCAATATCTTGGAAGTCACTCAGTTTATTTTGCTTTTTTGGACATTAACAGTAATCATTCTTTGTTGTTTTGCTGTAATTTTTTGCCTTCAGTATTTAGTCATTTATAACCATCATTCATCTGTACTTGACTTTATTTTAAAATACCTCTCTCCATATTATCAAAGCAAGTTCTGAGATAGGTGTATTCCGCCCATTTTTCCTCCTTTGATTTATCTCCAGCAAAGGAATTACCACAAACTGTAGCACAATGCTTGAGGTCTATGGAAAATAAATTAACAAGTCAATAATTAGGAGTTTGAAGTGCTGCATGAACTTTTCATAATAAACGTGAACACATGTTTTGAAAGACAACATTGATACCATATTGTAAAAATTATTTCATGCTGCTGAGATGAAAGTTGTTCAGATATCGGCAGGAAGTGATGACAAAGGAGAACGCCCGCCTGTGAACAATGCATAGCTACTACGGCTACACAGCCAGTAGAGACGAAGCTGATGTTCCTTTAGATTGTTTTGAGACATTATCAGGGAGAGACAAAGAAAAATAAGAGTTCAAATAGTATTGTTCCAATAAACAAATAGTTCCCCATTTTCAAAGAGATCCCCTTTGATGTCATTTCCTGTTTCACTTTGGCCAAGCCAAGTTAAAAAAATATGCCAATTATGTGACAAAATGGGTAAAATCAAGTGTTTTATGCCAATTTAAAAAAATATTAAGATGTTTTCATCACCCTCTTGTATTTGTAGGATATATATGTCACAGGCACTCTAAGTGAGATAACTATTTTCACTCAAAATTAACATTTTAGTAATACAGAATGTTGCTTGTTCTACCCACAATCTAAATTTCAGATATCTCAAACATCATTCTTCCTGTAAAGTCAATAGCATTAACTTTCAAATTTAGTTGTATTAAAATTTCAGCTCCTGATATCAATAAGTACACTTGTTTTTATCTAGAATTAATATATAATATAATATATATATAATATATATATATGCATGTGTAAAATATATCCTTGATATTCAGTGCTCATATCAAAACTAGTAAAACAACAACAACAACAACAACAACAACAACAACAACAACAACAACAA